AGAGACCTGGGAGCACCAGATAATGCTGACAGATCCTGGGGGGGTGGGGGGGGAGCTTGGGGAGAAGGGAAAGAGGGTGTTTCCCGTCCTTCTTCCCTTCCGTTCCTTGCCACGTCTTGATGAAATGAAAAGGGAAAATTCATTTCTTGGTCCACAGACGTCCATGAGTAAAGACAGGTTCAGGGCAGCACGAGAGCAGGAGGTAAGATCTCCCCCGGCCGCTGTGGGGAGAACAGACAGAGGCTGCCCGCCTGTGGCTTTGGGTGTGTGGAGGATCTGCCTGCGCTGCTCCGCGGTTCTTGCAGCATTAAGCATAATCCCAGAACGGTTGTTGCCGTAAATGTAACCCCGTGGTAAGCCACACCTTTAACAATCATGAAGCTAAATGCAAACCCGTAGTTAGGACTTCTCAGACTTACAGTCTTCTTGGACTGAAGACTCCAAAAACCTGATACTCGGTACTGCAGTGAAGAGTAAAACCAATGCAGTTGGCCGTGGACATTGGCAAAGCATAAGCTCCAGTCTCTGTGACTCTCCCGTTTTCCCAACACCATAACGTTGTTCATGTAGATACCACACGAGCGTCTGTCTCCCCCACCGTAAGCGCCATAAAGGCAAGGACCAAGTCTGTTTCCTCTCACCGCTCTGACCTGAGCACTATGCCAGGCATCTGGTCAGCACATGTATTTGACTGAATGGGATAAATGCATTTTCCCGCAATAAAGTACAACTGGAAAACTTGTAAATTCTCTCAGACATTGATAATTCTATTTTTTAATGTTTATTTTGGAGAGAGAGAGAGGCAGCAAGTAGGGGATGGGCAAAGAGAGAGGGAGACACAGAATCCGAAGCAGGCTCCAGGCTCCGAGCCGTCAGCACAGAGCCCGCCGCGGGGCTCGAACTCACAAACTGCAAGATCATGACCTGAGCCGAAGTCGGACGTTTAACTGAGCCCCCCAGGCACCCCAGTAATTCTGTTAACACTGGGCTGAGGCCGTGTATAAAACTCAAATGCTACCATTAAAGCAAACTGTCAGTGTAACCACCATTCGGCCTCCCAGCTTACAGTCCACAACCCTGCAACATATTCTCACGATTTCCTTCCTGAATCTTCCTCAGTATTTCTAAACACAGATCTAATGCTGTGACAGTGACATGAAAGCCTCGCTGCCCCTCAGTTTTCCTTAGGATAGAGTCTAAACATCTCAGCCTGGAGTTCAAGGCTGTTTTCTGTTCCCACCTTACCTCTTCCCACACGTTTTCTGCCCACACCCTGTAATCTGTAGTCCAGCCACCAGCACCCACACCGGTCCCGAGATCTTCTGTGCCCTGTAACCTTAGAGAGCTTTGGTCCTGTTGGGTCTCCTCCCATCGCCCTCTCTTTGCCTGACAAATTCCTGTTTGTTATTTTAGGCCTAATTCAAATGCATCTGCCCGTAAGCCACATGTTTTCACTGCTCCATACCCAGTCAGAATGATCTTTTCCTACTCTTTGCTTTCTGGATATTTGGTTAAATCCTCTGTTATAGCACTCATCACTTGATTTTTTTTCACATTTATTTATTTTTGAGAGACAGAGACAGAGCGTGAGCAGCGGAGGGGCAGAGAGGGAGGGAATCACAGAATCAGAAGCAGGTTCCAGGCTCTGAGCTGTCAGCACAGAGCCTGATGCGGGGCTCGAACCCACGAGTCGTGAGATTGTGACCTGAGCCGAAGTTGGACGCTTACCCGACTGAGCCACCCCGGCGCCCCCATCATTTGATTTTACAGCTAGTCTTGTGTGTCCTGTTCTTTACCTGATGCTACTGTGTATTGAGTGTCTAGCAGGTTTTTAAATCACTATTTATTTTTGTTTGTTTTCTCGCAATAAGAATTTCAAATGATACAAAAATCAGGAAAAGTAGAGAGTATTCTGTGTAGATTTCCCTTATTCTTGTTCTGCACCTGCCTGGTTCCCTCCCCAGTGGCCAAGGCCGTGTCTCAGTTTTTCGTGGCCATAATAACATGGTGTAACAACCGTAAAACTTGGCGGCCTGCAGCAATACACATTTATTTAGCACAAGAATCTGTGGGGTGCAGCTGATTGGGCAGGGCTTACCCGCGTATCTGCAGCGAGCTGGGGGGCCGCCGAGCGTCCAGGCTCACACGTCTGGGGGCCAGCTGCCTGTCAGCTGAGCCGGGAGTGTCCATGTG